CCCCACGGGAGGCGCTGAGGGACGGCGCAGCCAGGACGGCCCCGGCCTCTTAACCGAGCGCCACCCCACTCTCCACGGTAAAACATTTGTGGGCGCTCTGATGAAGTCCCAGGCTGCTCACGCGTGTAAACCGCCAACTCGTGTGTCAGCGAGTGCAGTCACACGTACCTGCTGTAACTTTTGACGGGGTGTAGTTGATGAGTCCACAACGTAGCTCCCGTAGCTGCAAAAACACTCCTCGTGGTCGTTAAAGTTGGAGGTAGTGCTAATGCTGCTTACTGCCTGACATCAGAGGCTGCATTCCCTCTTTCAGAACTAGAGTGACATGACTGCCACCCAAGTTAATCCTCTTCTAAGTGTGTCAAGGGCCTTGGACTCCGGTCCTCCTGACTGGGGCACAGTTAGTTCACCTATTAAGACTGGTTGCTACTGTAAGAATTTTTTGTTTTTGTTTTTGTTTTTTTGTTTATTTTTGTTTTTTTCAGACAGGGTTTCTCTGTGGCTTTGGAGCCTATCCTGGCACTCGCTCTGGAGAACAGGCTGGCCTCGAACTCACAGAGATCCACCTGCCTCTGCCTCCCGAGAGCTGGGATTAAAGGCGTGCACCACCACTGCCCGGAGAGACCTTTTTATAAATATGGTTAATACCTGAGCATGTGGAGATCGATGCCTCAGCAACACACTCTTAAGTTGTGGGTTTATGCCCTAGGATGCACTGACTCACTTTAACACATTTTTAACATGTTTCAGAACTGTGGAACCACTGGAGTATTACAGGAGGTTTCTGGTGAGTATTTGTGTGCTACTGCCTTAATAAAAATATGCTTCAAGGCACAGTTTTTCAATTCACTTAAATTAATGAGGCTTAATGTGTTTTCCCCTGCATAAGTGAAATACATATGTAACCTATTTCCTTATAAACATTTAGAAAGAAAACTGCCGACCTGATGGAAGAGAACTTGGTGAATTCAGAACCACAACTGTTAACATAGGTGAAGATACACTTCATTTGGCCTGGTGGGACACCACCCACTCCACCCCCATCCCGTGTGCCACATTTTTTTTTTTTACAACCAGTTCTATTATGCCTAAGGCATTTGGTGATGTTAAGAGATTTTTATCATTACACCATCTTTGTAGTTTACCTAAACCTGATTAGCTCAAATTGGGGGGAAGAAGAAATTAAGATATTAAGTAGTAATACCATTTTCAAATCACTGACCTGAACCTGTCAAAAATTCCAGAGACAGCTGGAAAGGTCTACCTAGATAACCATACAAACCAAAGCATTTAAATTGCTTTGTAGGATACTTTGTGTATTTTTTTCCTTTGCTTTTTAAAGGAATTTGAATAAATACCATGCTTACCTTTCCAGGTTCAATCAGTACAGCTGACGGTTCTGCTCTAGTGAAGCTGGGGAACACCACAGTCATTTGTGGAATTAAAGCAGTAAGTTCACTGTCTGTCTGTTGATAGCAGAGCTCCAAATTAGCTTCATGCTTACGAGGTTGTAATTTAACTGGGGGTCAGAATTTAGAATTGTAATCCCTGCCCCCTACAACTGATTCTTAGCTACTCCTCATACTTTTCGGATTTTGGCAATATCATTTCTGAAATGAGATTGTTAGTGATACCTTTTAGCCATCGGTAGTTTGTAATTGTTAGGCACAAAGGACAGTAGCTTTCTGCTGGCCACCTGCTGTTGGGGCACCTTATCAGGCACTTTACAGAATTACCAGTCTCCACCCTGCTCAGCCCATGAAGCTCAGTAGCCTCCCCAGGTGTGTGAGGCTCACAACAGAGTCTGATGACAAAACTTGTGCTTTCTGACTTTACTCTGAGGGACTCTTCTTTCTTTAGTGGTACTGTCAAGCTGAAGTGATAACTATTAGAACACCTACTCCTTGCCAGATTTATACTGAGAACTTAATGGCACTGTCTCATTGGGCCTTGGGAGTAGGCCCTAGGAGTAGGCAGGTACCGTTCATCTGTCCCTGTGACAGCAGAGAAACTTATAAGACATCTGTCCCTGTGACAGCAGAGAAACCTATAAGATCAAATAATGTGCCCCAAGTCTCTCAGCCTAGAAATTGTGGGTCTACAGCTGAGCTGGGCTAGTTACTACTAGTTACTGAGTCTAGCCATATTAATTTGTTATTAAACTCAGATTCTTGGCACCCAAACAAGTACACAGAGGTGGGGCAGAAGCCCACTAGTCCTCATCACCTTTATGAACAGCAGTCTGGTTGCACTGCACTTCTTTAACTCTCCTGTGAATCGTTGGGAAGGGCAGTGCCAGTATCCTTCGGGTTCTGCCGTGATCCCCAAGCACTGTAGATGCTAAATATGGGATAATTGGCTGACGTGGTCTTTTGGTACAGCCTCTGTAACTAATTGCTAGAATGTCTTCATAGTCTATTCTTGTTTCTTTCACTGGAATACATGTATTTGCTTTGTAGGAATTTGCAGCACCACCACTAGATGCCCCTGATAGAGGATATGTTGGTGAGTTAAATGCTCTTGTAATTTAGCAAATACTTGAGTAAGTTTAAATCGAACTATTTTGTAGTGAAGTGCTGATGATTTAGGCAGTGATTCCCTATATTCAGAAATAGAATAATGCCCCCCTTATCTCAAGCTTTCTGCTTGTTAGATTATAACAGAGAACATCACAGGAACTTAATTTTGCCAACCCCTTATTGGTTGTCTTTGTTTACACATTGAGTTATACATATTCCTTATCCAAGGGGTAGTTGTAGATAAAGGCTGTCATTGCAGACTGAAATCTGTCTGCACTCATTTAGACTGGGAAATATTTTTGGTCTTGGAATATCTTTTCTTTAAGGTAGAAACCACATTTAAAACTTTAATAGTTGGATGTAAGCACAGGCTTGTCCTACTAGAGACAGTTATTGGAGAAAAAAAAAAAAACAAAAACAACCCAGAAAAACTGTAAAGAACTATGATTGAATCATAAGAAACTTTTAAAGCAGTATGGGAAAACTTTAGACAAGCATAAATTTCTTTTTCTCTCAGCCAGGCACTCTCAGAAAAAGTAATTCTAACACTGCCAAGCTTTCTACCCAAAGAGTCTATCCATAGCCATCACCTGTGCTGTGGGGCAGTCCCTGTACTAGGAACCTCAGCTGTCAGGGGGTGAAGTTTAGCTCATAGCTTTAGTGTTTCTTTCAGTCCCTAATGTGGATCTACCACCGCTGTGTTCATCGAGGTTTCGGACTGGACCTCCTGGAGAAGAGGCCCAAGTAACCAGCCAGTTCATTGCAGATGTCCTTGAAAAGTAAGATTATTATGAAATTTTACTGCCATGCATTATCAAATGTTTTACCTTTACATTTACTGTGTTCTTTATCATTAAATCAAGCTCACAGATAATTAAGAAAGAGGACTTATGCATTTCTCCAGGCAAGGTAAGAACAGACTGAGCTCTTATGAACTCTGAAGTGGCTGTGTGGTCTAATATGATAGTGGGGATGGATCAAAAACCTTAAACCCTGAAATTAAGAGCTTAGAAGGGATTCTGTAATTGTTTAGACTTTTAAGTCCATCTTAATTTGTCTAATCAATGGTCCTGCAATTCAGGCCTAAGGAAACAGCAATATTCTATTATCAGGTCTAACTTCTTTTATGTGAACTATTTTAGCTTGCTTGGGTTCTGTACTGTGACCTTATTTGCCTAGACTACGATGGAAATATTTTGGATGCCTGCACATTTGCTCTGTTAGCAGCTTTAAAGAATGGTAAGCAGCCTTAATAAAAACATTTTCCTGCTAATATTGTCAAGAGTCCAGTTGGTCAAAACCTTTTACAGGGCTTTCTTGAGATTTAGATATCAGTCACATAATTTTTATTTTGTAAGACAGTATCCCATAGCCCAGGCTGGCCTTGAATTCCTAATCCTCCCAGATGCTGGTAATATTTTAAGTTTGAACTACCTTGCCAAGTTTGTGTTCCTAAGTTAGTCAACTTTACAGGGTTTTCTAAAAATGTTTTATGTTCTGTAGCCTTTTAGAATCTCTTTGTCTCCAGCAGCCCTTCCCAGAATTCACTGAACTTAGATAGGGGATTTTCACTATAGTCCAAGTGGCTTGTGCAGATTGACCATAAGTATTTCCTGATAGTGATGTTCCTGGTAAGGGCCTGGGTAGGTTGGTAATGTCATAGAATATCAATTGTGCACATTCCAAGTCATTCTACATTGCTGAATGGACAACAAAACTAAGCTAGGCATGGTTGTCAATGCATATATCCTCTTCCCACAGGAGATGAGAATGGCAGATTGAGGCTAGTTCAGACTGCAAAACAGTATTCTTTCTTTTTAAAACATCCAACTAACTTATAGTGGAAGATATAGTTAATAGTGGTATTAGTGTAGTCCTAGTTAAACATCAATCCAGCCTGCTTGCTTCCTCTGTAATAAAATGGTACTGAAGAGCAGCACTTACTACTTTAGGAGAGTGGGTGACCAAATCAGTGTTATAAAATAGATACTGGGCATTGGTGGTGCAGGTGGTTTGTTGGCAATACATGCCTTTAATCCCAACACTTAGGAGGCACAAAGGCATGGGGGGATATCTGAGTTTGAGGCCAGCCTGGTTACATAGTGAGTTCTAGGACAGACAGTGCTACACAGAGAAACCCTGTCTTGGGACGGGGAGATAAAAATCCAAAACAGCTTGGCTGGAAAATAAGATGTACTGAGGAGTCTTCTTCTACCATATTTACCTTAATTGTTTGAGATACTTAAAACTATACTAATATCAGGTGAGTAGTACACAACTCTAATCCCAAAGTGGGTTCCAAGCTAGATGGGCTACATAGTGAGATCCTGTCAAATAACTGTTCTGGATAAGCTAACTTGGGAAAAGAAAGGATTACAGTGAAGCTATATACCACAATCACCTTATATGTATGTTTATTTGCCTTTTTGTAGTGCAGTTGCCTGAAGTTACTATAAATGAAGAAACTGCTTTAGCAGAAGTTAATTTAAAGAAGAAAAGTTATTTGAATGTTAGAACAAACCCAGTTGCAACTTCCTTTGCTGTGTTTGATGAGTAAGTTAATCAAAAGTAACACTCTAGGTTCTAAGATAATGGCTTGTTATTTAGATATCTTTACAAGAAATGTCCCCGAGTCGACTACCAACCCTAATTTGCTGTGGACATTTGAGCCCTGCCCTGCAGTTCCTTTAGTTGGTGCTTCCATCTGCACTGCATTTTAATGTACAGGACCAATTCTATGTTCACCTTACTTGCCCTCTGTTTCTTTATGCCCTTTTTCCTGGATGGTGATGGGGACTGTATGGGGCCTGTTCATACTAAGCAAGTGCTCCATTGCTGAGCTATGCTCCAAGCTACTACTCTATAATCTTCTGAAACTGTCTTCAGTATTAGCTGCAGAACCCAAGCTGAAGAGCAGGGAGTTCAGAAGTACTGGGCTGCAGGGTGCTGCCACTCACTCTGGCTTCCTCCAATCAGTCTCTTCTTGATACCCTTCCCCTATTCCGCACCCCATGCACATTTTTTTTTTATCACTTATATTTTTCAAATGCAGTACTTTGCTGATCGTTGATCCTACTGGAGAGGAGGAACACTTGTCAACAGGAACCTTAACGATAGTAATGGATGAGGAAGGCAAGCTGTGTTCTCTTCACAAACCAGGTATGCTCTTTTCACTGCAGCTTTAAACACTGGTGGGGAGTAGTTGTCAAGTGGAGTGTGGGAAGTTTGACTGTTTAGCTGATGTAAATTTATGGGCTTCTTTGCTATTTTTTTTTTTTTTTGTGTGTGTGTGTGTATCATTTCTAAACATATCTGTTTTCTGGAGTCTTCTAAAATGAACCTGCAGAAACCACACCACTTGATTTAGATGATACTTGATTTAAAAAGTAAATATTTGACTTGATCTTAAATTTTCACGAAATAACGGAAACACTGAAAATTGGCACAATTTTTCAGGTGGGAGTGGACTTACTGGAGCTAAACTTCAGGACTGCATGAGTCGTGCAGTTTCGAGACACAAAGAAGTGAACAAGCTGCTAGATGAAGTCATTCAGAGTATGAAACACAAATGAATAGCCACCACCATTGCAAAACAGCTGTAAAAATTGTATTTGTTACACTGTGCACAGGCTTTTTATACTAAATAAATACCAAACTATGTTCTTTTTGAAGATATTTCTAGTAGTTCTTAGATGGTATATATAGGAAAACATTTAACCATGTCTCCATATAAGAATCACAGGATTGTCCTTCTGTATAAAGTATGTACATCCATCAATGTAAAATACTGACATCTTGGGGGGGGGGGATGAAGTAGAAATGCAGTTCTTTTCATTCACTGGTCTTGTAAAAAAAAAGAAAGAAAAATTGCTCAGAATTTTGGAGTGGTTGGCATGCCTCTCTTCACTTTACTCTTTGACTGGCCACCTGAATGTCGGTGACGATGTAGCTGGGCTGTTTGTGCGGCGGCTGCTGCCATAGCCATCTGATGTTGCAAGAATCTCAACTGCTGTAAAAGTGGAAAAAAGGAGATGACATTATGTTAAATGCATAGGTGTAGAAAGGTGCTTCCCCAGGAGTGATGAAAACAAGCCCAAGAGGAGAAAGCATGAGGTCACAAAGGGTACTTCCCCAAATCAGGATACTGTAGGGGTCTGCTGAGGGCTTTAAATACTATTCTTGAAAATGATACAATTATCTATTACTTAGCCCTGGCAGTCCATATTGCAGTAATGCAGCAACTTCAGTTACCATTTTGTTGTATGATGATCATTTATAGCAAAATGAACCAATTACCAAGAGTCAATCATGGTATGCTAACACCTTTTCTTAAAATAATAGGTAACATTTTTCTAAACATGTATGACATTTACTAACAGGAACACTCCCACAATACAGAATCAAAGTTAATAATTGGCACTTACAACTATTTCAAAATACAATGCACATTAAAGGGGTGTGTGGAATGTGCCACCAAGACCTTAAAAAGGATTTAAAGATGCACTGTTACAAAATACACTCAATGCTCCAAGCTGACTAGCATTTAAAAATGTCAGACTTCTAAATCAAACTAAATTACTGACCAATTGCTTTAGACTTAACAGACAGGAAAGTAGCCCTACTACTGCAAGGCAATGCACAGTACTTTTGGAACTCAGGGTCTTAATTAATCAAGTGAATCTGCTGGCTTACTTGATGCTGCTGCTGCTGCTGCTGCTGCTGCTGCTGCTGCTGTTGCTGCTGCTGCAAGGCAGAGGAGAGCTGGAGTCTCTGCTGAAGAAGGCTTTGCTCAGGTCTGTTCTCGGCAGAGCTAAGCTGAGACAACACTACAGGAGAAGGGGAAAGCAGGCCAGTCAAAAGTTTGAAGGTGCCCAGGGTTAGAAAACACAATATAGAAAATGAGAAAAATAGAAATTAACCTTAAGTATCAAAGCATACATATTTTAGAATAAATTTAGTCTCCTGCTAATTAAGGGTGTCACTGTTTTCAGAACATTCTGGCCATACAGAGATAAGGGAGTGCCCAGATTAAGGTATTGTATTCCTTCCATCTCTTCTTTTTCTTTTTATTTTGAGACAGAGTCTCATCCCAGGCTGGCCTCAGGACACACTATGTAGAAGAGGTTAACCCTGAATTCCTGATTCTCTTCTTTCCACTTGCAGAATGCTTTGGTTATAGGTTTATGCCATTGTATCCAGTGTTCTGTAGTACTGAAGCACTCTAGCACCTCAGCTACATGCATCCTGCCTCCATGGCAACCTCTTTGCATCCCTATGGAACTTGATACTGGACCATGGTCCGAAAGCCACCCTTATATGAAGTAAAGTGAGCCAAGACTTGCAGCTGATGGGGCCATTCTAGTCATACCACATTCTCAAGTGCAGGTGGCAAGGCAGACCTGGCCTAAGTGACTGCAATTTTGTCTGAAGCCAGACAAATTCTCATGATCTGTCTACCATTCTTTTCACAAATTTACTTTGGCTATTTTAGAAAAACTACAACTTGTTTGGTAAAGGTAGTTACAAATCTGCATTTGGAAATTCACTAATTCTAAATTACAGCTCTATGTAGGAATTACTTTCAAACTGTAGACGTAGATTACTCCTACTAAGTAAGGAACATCTAAATTTGAAAACTGGTAGTTACAGAAAAGGTAACACTCAACACATAGGGACAATTCACTGAATCCTCAAATTCCATTATAGCTTTGTTAATTTTTTTAAATACAATTCTATCATGTGGCTTATTCAAATGTGAAGTCAGAATTCAGTACAGTATTACCTTTTGTTTACTTTCTCCTACTGAAAGTGGGAGCATTCAAATTTCCTTTTTATAAGCAAGTAACTCACAGAAGTTTTACTAATTATGAAGATTTAACTCATAGAAGTACAAACAGAAAAATTATGCAATCTAGGAAAATGTAGTCTCAGGTAATTAAGAAAACAGAATTAACCACTTGCAGTGCAAACACTGAAAACTGCTTTGACAGCTTTCTATAAACTCAGATGAATATGTAAAAGCTGACCAGTTAACCACTGTAAATGGAACATATAAGTATGTGAGTCAACACTTTCACAATCAGCTGTCCAAGTAATTTTTAAAAGAAAAACTCCTGGCCAACTGTTTGTTAATCTAATAGTTCACAGATTAAATACTTCAGTTTTTTTCTGATTATTGCTTGCAAGGAAATAATTTACACAGTGAGATCTCAATAGGAAGTCAGGATGGTACCTACCAGCTGCCTGTGACGGTGTAAAGCCTCCTACTCCTGTAAGATTAATAACAGCAGCTTGCTGAGCAGTTAAGGCCTGTTCTTGAGCAGTTAAACCTTGTTCAGAACCCTGAATTAAGAAAAAAAAAGAATAACAAGTGACTTGTACAAAAAGGGCAAAGCAATTTGAGTCAGTGAGAAGACAGCTTTTCTTTGCTGTATGAGGAAGAAAACAACAGTAGCTTAGGTTTCATATAAATATAAACTATGAACACATGTAGAAGTAGCAAGAATGGAACCCGCTCCTTGGAATGAACAACAGCTAAAATAATTTGTGCTGGAGAGATGGTTCAATGATTAAGAGCACCAAGTGCTCTTCTGCAGGATCCAGGCTTGATCCCCTGGGGGATCAAGGCTGGGGATCAAGCCTGGATCCTGCAGAAGAGGATCATTTCACAATCATTTGTAACTCCAGTTTCAGGGAATCTGACACCCTCTTCTGGCCTCCACAGGTACATGCATGCACATGGTACACAGGCATACATGCAAGTGAAACACCCATACATATAAAAATAAAATTTTAACAAGATATACTCTTGTCATCTCTCAAGATCATACAGAGTCAGAGAGAGGTACAATTTTGATAAATTATAGGGCAAGTAAAATTGTAGAACTCTTAAGAGGAAAATATAGGAGAATGGTTTCACCAGTTTGATTTGTGAATCATTTCTTCAATATGAACCCAAAAGTATAGTGGAAGAAAGTAAACATGTACAGCACAGAATGTATCAAAACTGCACAGGCCATGATCACAGTGAGTAACTGGGGATTTCTCAGATTTTTATGAAGAATATATATACAATGTCTTCAACTCAACAATGCAGAAATATATAACCTCATTAAAAAATAGGCCAGGGATTTATATAGATTTTTTTTTTCTTCAAAGATACAGAAACAAACAAGTGCAGAAAAGCTCTAGCCAGGGAGACTCTCAACTCATTCTCACGTGGGATAGCTGCTACTCAAAACAAAATCAGCTTAAACAGGAAGTGCAATGCCTAGCCTGCTGGAGGCGGAGTTTGATCTCTACCACAAGAAACAGAAAAATAAATAAACAAAAAGTTAGGATTTGGACAGACTGACCCTTGACCACCCTGCTGGTAGTAATGTAAAACAATGCAGCACTATAGTAGAAAACAGTGTGTTGTCTCAGGAAATTAACAGAATTCCTGTAAGACCCAACAAGTTCTTGACACATATCCAAATGAATGACCTGTCTGTTGTGACAGTAACAGACAGAAAAGGACACATGGGCCATGATTCTATCTCCCTACATGAGGCACTCAGGATGGTTAAGATAAAAAACCCACAATGGTGGCTGCCAGTGGATTGAGGAAGTTATCCGCTGTTTATAAAGTTTCAATTTTGCAAGGTAGGAAGTGCTTTGTGCAACAGTGTGAATGCACTCAATACTGCTAAAATGTTAAATTTAAATGGTAAACAGCTGGCACGGTTCACACCTGTTATCCCATCACTTGCATGCTGGGGCAGAATGAATGCCAAGTTCCCAGCTAGGCTGGAGTAAGAACCTGTCTCAAAAACAGCAACAACAAAAAGCTTGAACAGTAAACTTCTGGCCCCAAGGCTGACCATAGAACCCAACAGTGTAAGGACAGAACCTACTCCTACCAGTCCTCTGGACTCATGTGTACCATCACCCATACACAGACATAAAGAAAATAAAATTTGTTTTTAAAAGGTGAAAGAAAACTAGACATCTTGTCAGTGAAGCAAAACCCTTAATGTGCTAATATATAATACAGAAAAGGTTTCCAACATGTAATCCCTGAGACACCTATTAGAGGATGAGTTCTACTCACTCAAGATTCAAAGAGGGACATGCAAGAGGGCTGATGGGATAGTTTTCAGCATCAGCTGAGACATTCAAGGTGAGACCCAGTTTCTCAAATGATTCTACAGACTAGCCCAAGTCCAGGAACACTTGTCCCTTTCTCTTCAAACTTCAGTTTATTTAATTACATCCTGACTGTAGTGTGCAGTATCTGCTTCTGTCTGTGTTCTGACTGCCCAATACTTCAAGACAACACAGACAGATCCACTGCAACAACAATAAATTTCTACAAACAGAAGATGATAGGCTAGTTAGAGAAGACATAGTAAGGTGGAGTCAACTGCCACTGTCATTCACTGTCTGGCTATGTGACACTTGCTTGTTGGCAAGATGGAGACCTCCATTCAGAGCAGCTATGATTAGAATAATTGGCAGCTACAGGTGTTGATAAAGAGAAAAAACACAGGAACTATTTCTTTCAACAAGTTCAAACAGTGGAAATGTATGAAAAAAAACATGTCCTAAGTTCCGAGTCCAAAATGCACATAACACAAAAAGGTTAAAGATCCCATACCTGCTCCTCTGGCTGCTGGGGACTTGAGGTTGTAG